GCCCAGAGAATTGGGAAAGATTAAAGATGGAGTCTAAATGAAATGCCATTGCCACTAATAGGAAATGTCAATGCCAGAAAGCAAGTCACTTAAATTGTGAAAGAAATGTTGCCTGAAGCACAATGTGCTTGACAAAACCTTTAACATCATCTTTCCAAATCAAAATGAATGGACAGAGGCCAGAAGGAGATGCAAGTAAATGCTCTCTGTCTGTCGGCAGTGGCAAATTACATACACACAAGTACACATACACATATTCAAAAAAAGTATATGCAACCAGATGCCTTTGCAAACATGTGCTTCTGTCTATTTCTCTAATGTACATCATGTAATCTGTGTTTTGTAGTGTATATTCAAATTGTGACTGGCAGCTGCTCATTATTTCTCAGAGCTCAGCTTTGTTCTTCCTTTTAATGATTATCCCAGAATTTTGTAATAGTCACAACTACATGAGTTTAAAAAAGCCTCCAAACCAGTTTTACCAGATTTTTTTAGCACTTTCCCTTTGATATACACACACACACACACACACACACACACACACACACACACACACACACACACAGGAGGAGGATAAAATCCCCTTCCATTTAATTAAGATAACCAGTACATTTTCACTTATAATCTCTTTCTTTCCTCCTCCATCTCTTTCCCTCCATATATCCTTCTGTGCCGCTGCTTGTGTCATTCCCCTCTGGGGGGGGTGAGAAATGTTGTCGCTAGGAATCTGGATTTAATCATTTCCCAGATTGACGCCATGTTTTTCTTCCCCGAAGCATGTTCTCACTCCCCCACCCCCACAACCTCCTCTTTAAAATGTCGTCTAGGGAGTGTTCTGCAGCCAAAATGTGTTCGCTCCGGGGCAATTGGACTATTGGGGTTGACATCATCAGCTGAACGGGTAACTCTTCATTGTATGGCTCTGTGTGGCAGTGCAGCATTGCTCCAGCATTTTGTAGTAAATACATGCTGTTTAGACTCTGAAGGCTGGGGCTTGAAAGTCATACACAGAAGTGGGAAGTAACTAAGTACAATCTACTCATGTACTTCAGTACAATCTGGAGATACTTGTACTTTACTTGAGTATTTCCATTGTATGCTACTGCATACCTTTACTACAATTCAGAAGTACATGGTGTACTTTTACCCCACTACATGTATTTAATACCTTTAGTTACTTCACAGATGTGGATGAATGATGTGAAATATAATCAAGTGTTAAATCAGACTTTAGTTCCACCTGGAGTAAATTCACAAGCTACCCTGCAGTATACAAAGTCATTCAAACTAGCTGCACCTTTACCAGCTTTGAGAACACTTTCATGATCAATCATTATAAAACATATCATATACAGTATATTATTCTGAAATGGACCAATCTGCACAATGAATACCTTAAGTATATTTTTGTGATAATACTTTTCTACTTTTACTTAAATACAATTTTGAATGCAGGACTTTTACTTGTAACAGAGTATTCCTACACTCTGGTACTTCTACTTTCACTCAAGTACAAGATCTGAGTAATTCTCTCACCTCTGGCCATAGACCAAAGAAAAATAAATCAACAATAGGATGTGTTGGGGAAATATTTTTCAGTGTATGAGTGTGTACTGCCCTCACTGAGCACAGGCCTGCAACCTTGGGCTGCTCTCAGTGTTTTGTCTCCCTGTTCCTTCCTGTTCAACACACTCTCACTCCATAAACGTCCAGGAGCGACGCTTGGTCAGGGTCCCGTGGCGTGCAGTTGTGACGCTCCTAGGCTCCTTCAGCTTCATAAAGGGACGCAAATAGCTTTCAACTGATTGCAATGTATTCCCATCTGCGGCGGGATTTGACGCTCATGGAAGCACGGCATTCGTTTGTGTCGGCTGCCCTTAAAGGCAATGTGAGCGTCCATTCCCATTGGATAACGGAGAATTGTACACCCGGAAGTAAGTATTCCCCTTACTGTCGATTGATTTCACAGTGATATCTGCACTAGCCTACTCATCGACTAAAAAACACCAGATTATCCTTGTTAATTACACAACATTGATTGGTTTAGATTGTGTGCAATGCTTTTGTATTTTTCCCCTTCGATTTGGAGAAACAAATGTTTTTTCGGAGTAAAGGATGGCAGAATCAACACTACCCAGAATCCCCAGCTATCGTTTAGGACTACACCATGTGCTTCTGTTTGACAAACCCTGCTGATTTAGTTCTCAAGCTCTGTGTTGGTTGACCTCCAACACCTGCACCTTCCATTGCATTCCATTCATTCCAATGGGCTGCGTCTATGTCACGTGATCTTCAAATTTCTTCCCTGCAGAAGAAAAAAAACATGGCCAAACTTCGTTTTTATTCTGGTGGAAAATTGCCTATTTTAAGTTAGTTTCGGCCATTTAAATGCCGTTTTCGATGTCATTTGATCGAGAAATATGAGTTGTGTATTTCAGATTATGCTGTGCAGTGGACTGTACATTGATCTTTAGTTTGCCGTAGTTATTAAGAGATTACTTCAGGAAAATGCGTCCAATAGATACGTTTTCATTCGTTACCAAGGTGGTTGCTAGGGACGCTGCCTTCGATATTCATTTCTGTTGATGTTGTGTAACTGTTTAGGATGGTGGTCTTATCTTTTATTGCCTACCCCTTCCCCGTCAATGTATAGTGTTGCGTCCACGTGCAAACGTATTAGTATTAACAAATCTGCATCTAAATGTGGCCATTAGATACTATTTTCCCTGCTGCCCCAATTTCCAGTCTCACATCACATACGTCAGTTAACAGCAATACGGAAACAGACCGAAAACATTAAAAAATAAAAATAATACTTTACTTCCAAGTGTGCTTGCCTTTTACTCTTTGAAAGTCATCACATAACGGCATTGTAATACACGGTCGGCTGCCATTAAATATTACTATCTGCCCCGCTAGTTCTTCCTATTTATAGAGCCTGATTGGAAACACTTCTAGGACAAACATGAGCGAACTGCCCCGCCAACACTGAAAACGTGATGTGGATTCATAAAGTATATCAGCAATTAAACAACATTGCTTACATTTCTTTTCACACAATACGTCTCTTTGCCCCAGTATCAACACTTATTCGGCCTGACGTTGAGCTTATTGATCCAATTTGGTAGATAGCGCTTGCTATTTACACCATAAAAGGTGCACAGCTGATATCAAGGGACAACCAAGTGGCTTAAAGCAATGTTATTGAATTTCATTATTTTTATTATTAGATATTAATATGCATCCCTATAAAGCTATATTCATTTTTCTCTACTAATAGTTAATTAAAGACTGCTACGTGGCGCCGGTGCCTTTTGTTTTCCCTTTCTAGTATAATGACTATTTTTGCACATCCGCTTTTTCAAGATTTCAGATTGGTCTAAGTTTTTTGACCCATACATATTCCCAAACTCGGTAGTTTATGCCCAATTGAATGAAAAAACTTGGGTCGCCCAATTTCCGCTAAAGTGCATCTGCAAGACCTCTATCAACCCATTTGTGCCATTACCGTCCAGCAATGTTAACTATGCTTGGAAGCACTTTTCTTAACTGGATATTATGCTATTACTACTGTGTATAAGATGTATGGTTGTTATTTCATCTCCGCGCCTTGCCTCAGGCTATGTTGAACAATAAAGTAAATAAAGAAACACAGAATTATTTAAATATAAACACAGATTTGGTGTGATATCTAACATGCAATTTATCAAAATAAACACCACTGCCATTATTTACAACTGCCTTACACATGCTGATGTACGCAAATGTTTCCAACTTTGCGGATCCAATAAAAGTATATCTCTATCTTAAGCATNGCTCTGATTGTAGGACATGTTACTGGCATAAGTTTGGTATACAATTTTGCTATATACAAAACCTATGACACAAACTTTCCTACAGATGGCGACACAGGCCAGTTTGTTGCAGTGGATAAAAGGCATTTATTCAATACATTAATGATGTCATGCCCCTGCAGGCAAATGGAAAAATCGACTTAACACGCTGTTTGGTTATATTGAATAAATTAGTGCGTTAAGAATATATTTAACTAATTCGATTTTTCCTACAGTAAATTGTACTTGCAACTCATTTTACCAGCATGTAACGTGAATACTACATTTGCAAAGACTCAGTGTAATCCACAATAGTTTGAGTGTTACATTTCAGTGTGGCTTAATTAGCCATGTATTTTAAATGTGGATATTTTTGAATGACATTTTGCTGGGAATAGAGCGACCAATTACATGTAGAAATACCTTTAATCTACACCTATTTGGAAATAAAAGTATTATTTATGATCAGATACAGTACCGTCGTCTTTGACTCTCTGGTTGGTCTGGTGGTGTCTTGCCTCTGTTGTATTCACTGAACACGGGAAATTACAATTCTGCCGTCCTCTCTAGTGTCATGATGAGGTTCAGGAAAAGCACGGTTAATG